TGTCCAAAACATTAAGCCCAGTCACTAATATATTTTATTTTGACAAGCAGCATTTAATCATGATTTATTTACATTGTCTCATTTGACATTATTTACGTGTTATCAAAGTAGAAGGCTTTCCTCATGTTTTATAGGACATAAAGCAAAATAGTGCATAAGGAAAATAAAAGAAACACATGTTCCTATGTGGTACAGGCCTAGAAATGACGGCAGCTAAATGACTGCCAAAAAGTCATGCTGACACGAGCACTTCAGCATTATACTAAGAACTAAAGAAAAAAGAGAAGCTAATTAGGAAAATACACTTACTGTCTTGGATGTAAAACCACAGCCCTAACTGATTTTTTGTGATTTGTTAATGTCACTCTTGTTTTTCCAGCCACCAGATCCCATAATCGAATTGTAGTATCATGGCTTCCTGTAATGGAAATACATATATCCCTCAAAACATAGACCAGAAAAAGCAATGCAAAATTAAATAAAATACAAAGCATTCTTCAAAACACATATGTTCTAAATGAAAGTCTTATCACTTGGAAATTAGTTTGGTTAATTTCTTCATAGTTCCAAATGTTTAGGTTGATTTTAATTCTTTAAAAAATTACAACAATTGATTCACTGTCAACTGAAAAGCTAGAACAAATGCATATAACAAATAAAACAAATATATGATTTTATACCCTCGTGAAAGGGAAAAACTCCAATGACTTTTTAAGTTAATAAAACACATCAGGCACAGGAATTATTTTCTAGTATTAAATATACAACTTTATTTAGAGCAAAACAAGATTCAAATCAGTTCTAAAGGTTCTAAAGGTTACTAGTCCCAAGGTATTTTGTCTTCTAACCTCAATTTCCTAGAAAAATAATTTTGACACTGTAAAATAGTAAACTGCTCACAACACAGTATTCTAGTCAGACACTACAGGATACTACGTATGGCATACTCTATGATATGTGAAAAGCATGAGATAAAAACAGTGAAAAGAAATTTCATTTGAATACAGTTCAAATGTCCATGATTAAAATATGACATAGAAACATTGTAAACACAATACAAAGCACGAGTCATCGTGACTATTAAAAGTATACATATAATAACATGGATTCTGTTATGAATATGCTGTAAACTTGAAAAGTATCGACCATACCTGTAATAATTTGTGGTTCTGCAGCCTGACATCTCACTGTAGCAACTGCATTTGTATGTCCGGATAATGTGTGTACGCTGGCTTTAGTTCTCACATCCCAAATCTAGAAAAACACAATAATATAATGAAGACAATGCTTTAAATCAAAGATAATGATTTATAAACTGGATGAAGAATATAAATAGGAGACAGGTTGCAAGAATTTTTAAAAGCTGAAAGATCAGGGTACTGAAAGTCTAAGAATGGGTATGATGGGACTACTTCCGGACTACTGAATGAAAGAACTAATGGACAGTAGTTGTGGTTACAGAACGGAACATGAGAATGTCACATTTCAGGGGAAGGGCACTAACAACACTAACAACACTAACACGATGAGGCCACAGAAATGAAGACAAAGGTGGAAAAATCACACAAGTTAAAAAACTTAGGGACTAGGGTACTGATGACTCAAGATAGCTATCTTTAATTGTCTATCAATCAGTTGAAGGCTCTCAAACCAAATGTGCACATTATAAGATGCATATATTTACAGATATATACACAAATCTATCCTGTTTACCCGTGCAGTTGAATCTCGACTACAGGTTACCAACACATCGATTGTTGGGTGCAAATCCAAACCATACACTGCACTTAGATGTCCATGATAATGCCTTATAACCTAAAGACAAAGCAGGAAAGTTAAAACTTCTAGAATTAGAAAGATAAACAGTGGTTCACAACATTTTAAATCCTTAACTCCGAGCTTACCTTATTGTATTCAAGATCCCAGCATTTTACTTGTTTGTCTTCTCCACAAGAGAACAGGTACGGGCTTCTTGTGCTTACTATCACGCCCCTCACAGTACTAATATGCCCAGTCAATGACAGTTTTAATTTGCCACTAGCCAAGTCCCAGATCTGCAATCAAAGAATATTTATGTTTTTCTTTCACTGGTTATCACAAAGCAAATTTTTAGAATCCTGATATTAAAATTAAGCTTTCGAAGAAAAAAGGAAAAATAACAAATATGTAAAAATAAAAAATTTTGCAAAATGACTCCCCTCCAAATAAAAGCAAGAAAAAAAAACCGGCATGCTCAAACTGGAAAAATATTTGTAATTAGATGACAAAAGGTTAACATTCTTGCTATATAATGATATCTTTGATAATAGCAGTATGAAAAGTACGGTATTAAATTAACCGAGGATGGCAACAAACTAAAGAAACCCTAAAAGCAGCAAATACTTGATATGAAAAAAGTCAAACTCATTAGAAATTTTATACAAAGTTTTTAAAAAAGAATAAATATCCATTTTTGCTTACCGTATTAGATACATGTAAAGGAATGTACAACCAATGTGCTGAAAAGAATCCTCTCATATACTGCAAGTATCAATTCACCCATTTGCAAAGTAATTTGTACTTTGGGTATCAGCTTCAAAAATACTTGACCCATTTATTCCATTTATAGAACTCTACCATAACAAAATAATTTAAAATGCAGAAAAAGTCTTATATACAAAACTTAACAGCATTACTTATAATGGTGAAAATCAGACTAAAAACTCTAATGTCCAACAGTAGGAAAACAGATGATAGACTATCTAAATGATGTATTATGCAACTACTTTAAAAGATGGTAAATTTTTCACAGGAATATGCCTTTGATATGATGTTAAGTGAAAAAAGCAAGATATAAAATTACATACAAAGAATGATTTTTAAAAGAAACACACACAGGAAAAAAGCTTAGAATTAACGGCACTGTCACAGAAATAAATACTAAAATGAAACTTATCCAAATATCTAACAATGGTAGGATTATATACAGGTCTATGCATTTTCATAATCCTCTGTATTTTCCGCATTTTCTATGGATGAGCATGCTCTTGATTTTATAACCAGTTGGAGAGAAAATTTTAAGTATCAAGGAATTAGTGGTAGGTAGTCGGCAAGTAAATACCACTTTTCAAACAGATATTTACTTAGGACACTTACGGGTATACATGATAAATTGTACTCCTTATTCAGGTCTAAAACAACAGAGGAACTGCAATAGCAATTCCTGCCACAAGAAATAATAACTGATTAAACTTAAATGACAAACACAAAGTCATGTTTATTTTTTCTTCCTTCATTATTACCTTTATAGTTCTGTCAGCAGATCCAGTAACAAACCACTGATTTCCAGGTTCCACAGCAATACATCGAACCCAGCCAAGATGCCCACTGATAACCTGTATAAAGCAAAGTAGAATGGGCAGACTAACATAGAAGTTAAAATGTATTTAAGCTTAACTGCAGCCCGAGTTTGAACTGCCCTCCCATTTTCAAATTCTAAATTTAAAAGATAATTTCACTATTAGATTTTATAATAATATGAAATTATCTTCAGTGAGTGAATAGATACACAAATTGTGGTTCATCTACATAACGTATACTACTCAGTAATAAAAAGGAATACATTATTAATACTTGCAACAACTTTAATGACTCACAAAGGTATTAACCTGTGTGAAGGAAGCCAGTCTCAAAAAGTACATATTGTATGATTTCAATGGTCAAAAAGACATAGCTAAACCAAGTTAAGAGTCCATCAAGAGGTGACTGGATAAAGAAAATGTGGTACATACACAAAATGGAATACTATTCGGCCATAAAAAAGAATGAAATTCTGTCATTTGCAACAACATGGATGGAACTGGAGGACATTACGTTAAGTGAAATAAGCCAGGCACAGAAAAACAAATATTGCATGGTCTCCCCCATACATGGGAGCTGAAAAATAAATGATCTTGAGTGTCAAATGATGGCTACCAGAGGTTGGGAAGAACAGTGAATGGGGAGGCAGAGGATAAAGAGGGGGTGGTCAATGGGTACAAAAATACAGTTAGATAAAGGGAGTAAGATTTAGTGTTTGGAGCACTAGTGTGGTTAGTTAGCTTGGTAGCACAATACGGCGATTATAGTTAAGAATAATTTATTGTGTACTTCAAAATAACTAGAAGAGTAAAATTGGAATGTTCCTAATACAAAGAAATAATATCCCAATTACGTGGAGAGAAGTATCCCAATTACAGTGATTTGAGCATTACACATTGTATGCTTTTTTTCTTTTTTGTTTTGAGATAAGGTGTTGCCCAGGCTGGAGTGCAGTGGCATGATCTTGGCTTACTGAGAACTCCGCCTCCTGAGCTCAAGTGATCCTCCCACTTCAGCCTCCAGAGGAGCTGGTACTACAGGTGTGCACCACCACACATAGCCAATTTTCGTATTATTTGTAGAGACGGGGTTTTGCTGTGTTGCCCAGGCTGGTATCGACATCCTGGGCTCAAGAGACCCACTCACCTAGGGCTCCCAAAGTGCTGGGATTACAGGCATGAGCCACCATGCCCAGCCTACACACTGTATGCTTGTATCAAAATTTGCTATGTAGCCCATAAATATGTACATCTATTAGCCATAAAAATTAAAAATAAATTAGTACTGAAATTATTGGAAAAAAAAATAAGACAACCACAGTGACAGAAAACAGATCACTGATTGTCAGAGGTGAAGGAAGGCATAACCACAAAAGAAAAGCAGAGAGATGTTTTTTGAGGTGATACAACATCTATATCCTAACTGTGGTAGTGGTTACCCAAACCAATACATCTATTACCATTCATTAGATCTGTATGTCAAACAAAAAGGTTCTTACTGTACAATCATTTGAAAAACAAAAATTTAAAATATATATTCTGTGTAGCTGTACATTTCCTATGTACATTTTCTTTTTAAATTTTCTGTTTTTAATTTTTGTGGATCCATAGAAATATGGGGTACATGAGATATTTTGATACAGGCAAGCAATGCAAAATAATCACAGTATGGAACACTTCACAAATTTGTGTTATCCCTGTGCAAGGGCCATGCTCATCTTCTGTGCACCATTCCAATTTTAGTATGTGTTGCTGAAGTGGGCATGCGTGCCCATTTTCTTTTAAATGATATACTCTGAATCACTGTAATTTATTGTAATTGCAAGAATAACTGGTAGGCCCGGTGAAATTTCTTTATATGGTATTTCCCCATTCACCATTCAAACTAAATACTTTGAACAATTTTTCTAAATTTATTTAGGCTGCCATCCATATATAGTAGCTTTATCTTGACATTTTGTACTGTATTTTATATAAAATACAAGTGCAACTTTTACTTAGTGAAGTGTCCTTCCCAAGAGCTCTTTTAAGATACTGCCTAAGACTCTTCTCAGTTCACCTCAGATTATTCTACCAGCTTGTCATATTCACTTTTTCCTCCTTATTCTGTTCTTCAGTGTTTGTTTACTAGAAAGCAATCATGGTTCAAATAATAATATAAATGCAGAGTCACTCACCCTGTAGAGTTTCCATGGTGGATGCCACTGGGGTTTTGGCATTGTAGGAGCTTTTTTAGCTTATCAGTGCAGAATTCTTGGTATTGCCAGTCTCCATGACAATCTAGACATAAAAGAGACTACATTATTATTATTAAAGACATCATACCTAAGGTTTCATGATATCAATTCAGAAATGGAAACTGAAAGAGAAAACTTACAAAAGTTTTTTCCATAAATGAAGAAATAAAATTTTCTGCATGCTAATTTAAAAAAGCAATTATAAAACCAGAGAGGCAGAACATTAGACTTAAGAGCACACATCACTGTATGGGTTCAAAACCCAGCTCCGCCCATTACTAGCTGATTGACACTGGGTAGTAATTATGTAACCTCTATGTGTCTCACTTGTAAAACAGGAATAGTGCCTATTTCATAGGGTTACTACAAAGAGTACTAAATGCTCCATGTAAGCTCCTATTATTAAAGTTATTTTAAGTGTATTAATGCCACTACCTTTCACTGTCATATTTTAATATTATTAATATTTATCTTCTAATACTTAAATAATATTTTAAAAGGTATGCTACCTGATACACCTTCTACTGTTAGCAGCCATCTAGTCACCTAAAAAATATTTAAGCCCATAAAGTTCCTGCCCTTGAGAAGCTTAAATTATAGCCTCATAATTTAAGGGCAGAGAGCCTGGACAGAAAATGTGTTCTGAAAGAAGATAAATTAAAAAATGAGATGTGGATGCTACACATTCACTCCTTTCATAAGGTCAAATCAATTGCATAATGAGCTGAGCAGTAAAGCCAGCACTTACTTCAAGTGGCAGCATAATAAAATATACTGCAGATAAATAAACCAGTAAAATAACTGTAGAAAATCATTGTTACTACTTCTGCCATATTGAGCAGTTGCTACTACTTACAAACCAATTTATTTCTAAATGCTCATTTATAAGACCAGTTGTATAACCCATGAATAGCACAACACTAACAGCACTGTACAACTGTACAGTTCTACAATGTATAACTGTATAGCCAACTCAGTTTTAACAAAAACTAAAACTTCCTATCTAATACATACTAACACAAGTTTCAAAAAACACTCCTTGCATTTTTAATAGCGCGCAATAAATACCAACATCATATTATCTTGATCAAAATATATATATTATGCACAATGTAACAGAATTAAATTCTAAAAAATACATTAATTTACTACCAACTTGAGTTTTAGGGCTATGAAATACGAATGACTAGCTCATGCTGCTATTTATCTTAATAATTCCAAAGAAGTGTTCATTTCTTTAGTATTTAAGACTTTTGATTAAAGGGAAATAAGGCAACATGTTCTGAAAGTTAGAAACTTGCTATTTGAGGCAGAAAAACTTACTGAATTCATCGTTGTAGGCTGTGGACGGTCAGCAGCCCCAGGATGTCGGTATTCACTTCCACTAGGTGCAGTACGATTTGCATCAGCCCTGAGGCAAAAGAAATTATATAAAGTATTTAATGCCTCCAGTCACGTATTCTGCAAAACCAACCCTTTATTTTAAACTTTTCTTAGTCCTGATAAAGGAAAATGTCACATAATAGTCATAAACAAATTAAAAAAAAAACAACAAAAAACCATGAACAGTGAAATATGCTTTTACGATCTTTGTAATTATAGTATTTCATACTTGGCCTGAGAAGGTAATGCCACCGCTAAGGACTGTGCAGCTGATTCACTTGGCATTCTCTGGATCTTAGTGTCCGCTGTCAAAGCCACCCCTATTAAAATGAAAAATCAATTTCTTTCAGTAGCTTTGTTTTCAGGTACATACATTTAAAATAAAATAATGAAGGAAAACATACACCAAATGTTCATCTGCAGGCAGTGATATAAAAATTTTGATTAAATTTTGCTCATCTTTGTTTTTAATTTCTACAATAAATACTGCCTAATAACACATAACTCAAACTTGATTTCATCACAACCAACCTGGTATTAAAGCAGCCCAGAATAGTAAAGTTAATTTCCATTATATTCAGGTATTGATTTCAAAAGTCAATATTAAGCAGTTCCTCAAATACTAACATAATGTTTCCAAGGTGGCTGTAACTTACTACACCGAATTTTCCTGTACTTTCTGTATATACTAAGCCTTTTGTCCTCTACCCTGTTACACTAGCCCCTCCAGTTGAGAGCCAATGCCTTAATACAGACATAGGACATGTTTCTAACATACTGCTTCTAACAACATTTCCATCATTTTTATAAGCTTAGTGATATTTACATGTCTGCCTAAACACCAGATAATAAATTTGTCTAGGCCTGCAAGAGTTTTACTGTCTTTGAATTCCTAGCACAGTGCCTGAAAAATTACATACTTAAGAATCTTTGCTGATGAAGGCTCATGAGTATTTATTATCACCTGCAAAGCTATGCATGGATGCTTGGCTGTTGAGCTTATCTTGCATTTTATAGGCAATGAGAATCTCATTATTGGCTCATTAGTGAAAATATGTGTGACATTTTAAAGACATTTTCAAGATACAACAGCTCACTAACCAGGTCCTGGTGGGTATGGATGTGTACCTGCCACAAAGTATTCAACTTCTTGTCCTAGAAAAAAGAAAAAAAAAAAAAATCAACAGTACTGAATTTATCTTATATAAAAGTTAACATCTCTTTAAATGTATCAAATAATATTACATTATCAATCAGATCTATCAAATTTTCTCAACTAAAGTCAAGCCTCAGAAATAAGGGAAGTTGATCACTTTTGCTCTGATGTCTGTAAACTATGTCCTTGCCCATTTGCTGTACAGCTATGGTGTACAAAGAAGCCCTCCTATCAAATGACAATCCATTCTGGTATTTCTTCCAAGCGAATGGTTTCCTGTGGAATCTTGAATTCTCTTTTTTATAATTTTAGTATTTAATTTCATCTTTCTGAATTACAGACAAGATACATGGCATCCTCACAGGTTAAGAATATTCTCCAAATTTTTCCCTTAGTCTCCCCTGTGACTTTCTCCTCATTCTAAGAATCTCTGCCATCATTATTCTGCTATAAGAAAAAAGTCATCAACCAATGTCTCAGTATTCCCATGAGGATCAAAACTTCCATTATAATACCGGTACAGCCATTAAATGCTGTATGATCACAATAAGTCCTGCCAGGAGGGGCATAAATAACCCATTTTATTTTTCTATTTTTAAAATTCACATATAAGTCCTGACATTTCTGATAATACAATACTCACCTTGATTGGCAGGGTACTGTTTATGACCATAGGAATCTGTTGCATTCTGAGGACCCTTCTCTTTAAGATTTTCTTTTGAAGTAGGCATATGCAGCACAGGACCATACTCATTACGAAGCTTGATTGCCATTTTTCGTTTGTGACTATTTAGAAATTATAAACATAAGAACATAGCCATAAATACTTTAAAACAAATACTCGGATAGCTTAAGTTTGCCAAATCATGTAGAAAAAGTTTCTAGTAAGATTTTAAGTAGTATTTAAAAGATTCAAAAATTTCCAAGTTCATTTTCCCAACATTATCTGTTTTCTTTTGCTCACATTCCACCACACAGCATTAATTAAACCTAATATTTTAGTTTGTTACCAAATAAATACAAAACCTTTTATGATAAATTATCAAGGGTCTGATTGAAAGATATATAGAAACTTCCTTTAAGAAACCTCAAAATCAATATACTTTTCTTCAATATATAAATATAGTAAAAATTTTGTAGCAACCTTTATATGTATCTAAACAGGTTAGTCAAAACTAATCAAAGTCCTTAATTGGTTCAGTATTTTAGAAAGAAATGCACTTATATTACTTTTAAAAACAGTCTACTTTATAAATTAAACATAAACGCTTGTTTGAGGAATTCACTAGATTTTAAAAGGGTAAAGGACAAAGAAGGAACACTGCACATAATGCAATCCCAGACTAGAGCTGCATATGTAGAACCAAAAATATGCCACCACTCAAAAATCTTTATAATACTAACGAGAAAAGATGGGAGTAGAGGTACTGGCCAGGTACAATTTCAGCTCAGCAAGGCTCTGAGAGCAGCAGGAAGCTGAAAGCACAAAGTGATTTATTATAAAATAAAATACCTAAAAGGGGCTCGCTTAATTACTGGGTATTTGTAAAATGCAATTAATTAATGGAACTTTTACTGTAAAAGGCCAAAAAAAAAGTTAAATCAGCTTAAATTATGCCAAAATATTACTCATGATTGAATAATTAGGCCATGAGTATTACTAACTTATCTTTAAAGGTCTCCCTCTCCCTGTTCTCTTCCCCCAATATTAAAATGTTAAATATTTCAGCAACTGAAAAAAAACACTATACCTACCTCTCTTCATCTAAAGGCACAGGTTTTCCGTTATCAGCTACAAACATGTCATGGGTCCTCTTCAATGACCTGAACACAAGTGTGTGTACAGAATGTTTCTGTACCTCCTAAAAAGAAAGAATGTAATTACACGCCTACCTACAAATTAAACAAATCATAATATAACGTCGGATTGGTTATACACTTTACATGTTTAAATATGTAAAAAGCTTTATACACTCATCATAGCTCCTAG